TCAGCTGCTAGCCCCAAAAGTGGTTGGTTCCAACCTACCCTGGCATCTTCCATAGATTGCAGCAAAAAAAACACAAAAGCCCATGGGGCAGTTGTACTTTGTCATATGGGATGGCTACGAATCAGAATCAACTCAGTGGCACCCAACAACAATAATCTTGCCATCGACTCACAGTGACCCTGTATAGGCTTTCTGAGGAGCGGCTGGTGAGTTTGAACTGCTGACCTTGTAGCTAGCAATCCAGTGCTAATGCTGTAGCACCACACAAGGAGGTATTAGTAATCTCAATTTACAGAAAAGGAACCTGAGATTCAGAGAGATTACAAAATCAGAGTCACAGAGCTAAATGCAAGCCATGGTCTAACTGGCTGTTTTTGTTTCTGTGCTGCTGTCCCTTAGATTACCTGTCGTGCTTTCTTAGTGACAGCTGGCCACACCAATCTGTCTCAAAAGCTCTCTCTTAGTGGGTTGCAGACTCGACTGAGCCCTGCAGTCATAGTTAATCACCATAAACTGCTGCAGGATTAACCAGAGACAGCCTCCATCAGTCACAGTCACGGTATCAATATCTGCCTGTCATGTCAGTTCCATTTCCTGCATGGAGAAACTTAGCTCCTTCCCTCCACCGCCAACTCCCAGTCTTAGACATTGTACTCTGTGATGTGGTACCAGTGCGTGCTGCTCCAGGTGGGCTCAGCATCTTCTGAAACTCCAGGGCACTGAACACTGGAGCTGTAGATAGAGTGACCTGAGAATCCTATCCTGGGGGGCACATGTCCACCTAGATCAGGGTTTCTCAACCTCAGCACTATAGACATTTGGGGCCAGATAATTCTTTGCTGTGGTAGGCTGCCCTGTGCTTTGTAGGATGTTTAGCCCCATTTCGGACCTAGATGTCAGCAGCACCCCTCAGTCATGAGAACCCAAATTGCCTCCAGACATTGTCAAATATTCCTTGAGGGGCAAAATTGCCTCCCTTTCCTTACTTGAGAACCACTAATTTATGTGAACTAGTCTCAAAGTATTCCCAAGCAGCACAGAGGCTGACCCTTTATTAATGGAGTGGTGTTAGGTGCCATTGAGTCAGTTCTAACCCACAGGGACGCTGTATAGGGTTCTCAAAGAGCAGCTGGTAATTTGAACCACCAACCTTTCCGTTCAAACCGACCCTGTGGTCGAGTCCTTATCCTACAGCACCACACCCAGAGATACAAATACAGGGTGTGTGGGGTGCTAAGAACTTGTGTGGGGAACCCAATATTTACAAGCCATATTCAATTTTAGAACCCCAGGGAGTGACAAATAGCTACAGGAAACCTGCAAAGAAAAGATTCACCATGCTCCTGGTAGCAATTGCCTCTGGTAACAGACAGGATGTGGTGGTGGTGGTGGTAGTGGTGATGTGCTCTGGAGTCCGTTCCAATTCATAGGGACCCTGAATAAGGTTTCCAAGGCTGTAAGTCTTTCCAGGAGCAGAGAGACTCATCTTTCTCCTAAGTAACCGCTGTAAGTTTCGAACTGCTGACCTTGAGGTTAGCAGCCCAACTTGTAATCAGTACGTTACCATGGGAAGTGGTGATTTCTGGAAGGAACAGAAACTCCTGCCAAGTCTTTTATACAATTGAATGAACCACCTTTTACAACAAATGTAAGCATTAAGTATCTGACAGTATGGGGAAATAATCAGGATATAAGTAAAATAAGTCTCTAAATGGTATTTATGTGACTTCAACTCTGAAAAAATACATATGTAGACTGGAAAAAAAATTATTAGCAGTGGCTTTCACTTGTGCAATTTGGAGCAATATAAGTGGTCTGGGCTAAGTTCCTGGTAGAATATGTGGTATGTGCACCTCAGATAGTCCAAGAGTTGACTTTTGGTTTTACATGGATTATGTTTTTTTTTTACTTTAATCTTTCATGAGGACCACCTTTGTTAAATAAAACTTATTTTCCATTTGTGGAAGCCATATATTTTCCTTTTAAAATAAATTTGTTTTTGAAAGGGAGTCAATTTAAAGAAATCAGAAGTCACTCATGGAATAGGTGATAGGGAGGTATGAGAACGTATGTGAAGGTGGTAGGCAAAGGCTGACATTGGGGGTTGCGGTGTTCATTACCCACCACGCTTCCTAGCTGTCTGTGTGTGTGTGTGGGGGGGGGGGTTGCAGGCAGAGTGATATCAATGTAGACATTCTTCTTTGAAAAAGAGAAGGTGAGACCATGCTGTTCCTTCATGTACCAAGCTCCTCTACACCTCGGGGGCTGGGCATTTATTGAGTCTAGAAAGCTCCCCCAAGTTCTTCAAAGTGCTGCATTTTTCTCTTCGTTCAGCTAAAACATCACCTCCTCAGAGCCCCTCCTATGTCCCTCCAAATTCCTTTGTCAAAACAGCTTCTGTGTTTTGTTATGTTTTCTCTACTAGCCTGGGAGCTCCTGGAAGTCAGCAATTTCGTCTTATTTCCTGTTGTACCTGCAGAGACTAACCCAAGCCCTGGAACACATGGAGAGTTCCAGAAAAGTATTTTAAGTTGGGGTGTCTCCATCCCAGTTTTAGCCTTTCTCATAATGCCAGCTTGTACTGGTAGCCAAGATGACAGAGAGATGCCAAGGCAGTGGATGATTCAGCATCAAACACATTTATTTCACCTTTATTGAGTATACAAGAACAGAGAGCACACGCATACAGCACAGAGCACTGAGGTGGGGGAGCGCTGGGACGAGAGGAGGGTGTGAGTAAAGGAGCAGGCATTGCAGTTGGTTGGTAAGGTGCTTTTGGAGGAAAAAAAAAAAAAAATTCAGAGTGATGTTGCTCATGCAATTTCAGGCCAGTCTTGAAATGTGCTTGCAGGATTCCAAAACTGAAACACTTACTGTACCCTGGCACTTCCTGTACTCTCTGATGGAAAACAGCCCGAGAAAGCAAAACAAGAGAAAATGAAGGTCTGAAGGATGGCAGAGTGGGAAAAGCCCCTGGTTAACATCTGGTTTGACCTGCTTATTGTGTACATGGAGAAGCTGACAGGATCTTCCTAAAAGGAAGGGGGCCAATGTCACACTGAGTTGGGCTGAGCCAGGATGGCCAGCCAGAACTCCTGACTGCCGCTGGGGGCTTTTGCCACTTAGCCTCCAGTGTGAGAGGCAGCACAGAAAGGATGAGAAGCATTTAAAAAAAAAAAAAAAGGAAGACAAAACGGCAAAGTAGGTTTGAGACAGACAAGACAAATGTCTATATTCCCTCTGAAGAGGAGGGTGGGGAGGTAACAGTGCCCTAGATTCAGCTTTGTCACTCCCCCACTCGGTGGTGGTGATCCCTGGCTTTCCTCAGAAAGGAATGTGATGAAAGAGCTCACGTCCTAGTCACCTCAGCCCTGCCCTGAAGTCACACACTCAGGGCCTGTCGGCAGGTACCTCTTGCAGGGAGCATGTCAGAGGCAAAACCCAGAACAAAATTTTCCTCTGTGGTGTGTCCACCATGCTCAGACCACCTGTGTCCTACAAAGACAGGCCCAGGGAGGATGGAACCACCCCAGCTTCTTTCTTGACCCAGAAGGAGTGACAGTTCTCAAGTGGAGAAGGGGAGGAAGGTTCTGTGGTTTCTCCGCCAGCACCGTAAAAAGAACCTGGTGCATGGAAAGTGTGCCCTACACTCAGAGGAGCTGGAGTGGGCCCACCACTTGGTCCAGGGGGATGGCAGCTGACTGCCATTTGAGCCTAACCCTGGTGCACTCCCTTCCCATCTGCCCACAGAGGCAAATGCTATCCTGGAACCACACCAGTTGCTGGGGTGCCTGGTACCTCAGTCAAGGGGCACACATATCCTGGGCAACTTGACAAGAATGGGAGAATGCTCTCTGAGGGACCAGCCATGGCTGGAGATGCTACAGCTGGCTCAGGTGACTTTCCACATCCCTCCCCTGCCCTCACACTTTCTCCTTCAGTTCTAGAATGGTGCCTGGCACAAGTAGATACTCCAGAAATTTGTGTTGAATAAATTTATTGACTGCTTTAGAAGCAGGGCTGGGAGTTCAGATAGCATGAGTCAAGTGCAATGGGGATAATTCCCTTTGGAGAGGGACTTTTTGAGCTCAGGGAAGCAGCTTTTGGCAGGCAAGCTGGGGGAAAGCCCGTGTGTGCCCGAGGGCAATGCCAAGCTAGCAACAGGATCTTCTCCAAGGGCTTCAGTGGTCTCAAGGCAATTTCTGGGACTCCAAGGGTTCCGGCTCAAAGCTCAGATGCTGTTGAAAGGGGAGGTCTCCAAAGCCATGACCTTTACATAGATTGAGCCGTTGAATACCACCACCTTTCACTCTCCGCTTGTTCTGGGGCCTTTGGAAATGCAGTTTGGACTTATCAGGGCCTTCCCGGGGGCTCATGGCCTCTGGACTGTGGTTACTCTAGTCCAGGAAGAAGTAACTGATTCAGAATATAAGAGGGGTAGAGGAAGAGACTGAGTTGGGAATGTTTCAACAGCCAGGTTAAAGCCACCAACCTCTCATTGACCAGGGGCACCACAGCTCCTTTGGATAGGGAGTTAGTTATGACAGTGTGGTCAGGAAGGGCAAGACATGTGGCCAAAAAAAGTGGGGACTAAAAATCAACAAAAGCCCCCTAGGGAGGTAGGGGAACTGAGCTGGGGCCCTCTGCTGAAGAGACCTCAGCAGCCGAATACTAACGGTAGAGCTCATGCCTGAGCATAGATCAGGCCCTGGCTACCATGCCCGGGGGTGAAGGTATTATGGACTGGCATGTTCTGGACTACATCTGTGTGTCTCCTTCTTGTCAACCCCCTCCCCTCCTTTTGGAGACCCTACTCTTCCCCACCAATCAACCAATTACAAACACCACACACTGTATTACTACACTGAACCTGGCAGCCCCTACTGTGAGCCAAGCCACCCTCAGTGTCCAGGTCTCCTTAGCTGGGCCAGGTCAGTGAGATCTAAGAACCTTGGGATACATCAATCACAGGCAGATAATTATAATTTTAAAATGTCAGCTTCATACTTACCAGCACTGTTTATTTTAATATTTGTTTCCTGTTATATGTAATATACATAACTTAAAAGCACATCCATACAAATCTCCTACAGCTGCACCTTCGTAATGAGAAACCATAAACGTACAATGTCTACTTCCCTTCTGTGGCTTGGTTTTCTGTTCTTGTTTTCTTTTCTTTCCTTTTTTTCTTGTTTCCAATCAGAGTCATCTGCGGTGGCTCCGCAGTAGGCCCAGGACACAGAGGGTGAGGGATAAGAAGTGGGGGAAGAGGGAGGAGGGAGCCAAGACAGAAAATGACAACAAGACGCGTGAGAGTCGAGGGAAAGCGGTAGAAAGGAAGGCAAATTTTGCAGCCCAGTGTCAAGACCCGAAAAATAAGAATCCAGTGTTCCTCCTCCTCCTTTCTAAGTAGGGGATTTCCTTTCTTGGAAAAAATGTTTGACTGTGCGTGTCTTGCTGCTGCGACTTCTCTTGCTTTGCTGCAAAAGTGTTTTCCTTTGCATTCAAGTGGGCCACAGATGCTGGAGAAGAGCAAATGGAAGGCTGGTCCTCTAAATGTAACGTTTGGAACCAGAGTCCTATTGTACTTCTACAATCATAACGGTCTGGCTTGCTTTTGTCACTTGGCAGGACAATTGGGGAGCGAGGTCATAATTTTATTTGATCTTTCTTGAAAACTCCCACCAATTCTTCAATTTGTCTGCAAAGGAAAATGTAGGTGTTCAGCTGTTAGCTGTTGTGTCACTGACTGCTCCGCCAGCCCCAGCAGCAGTGCAAGGACGCGGTGTTTCCTGTATATATATCTATATCTATATATATCTATTTATATATGCTTTTCCTTTCCCAGTCTCTCATCAGTGACAGTATGTCGCAGCTGGGACATCGGTGTTGAGTCGGAGAATTCAGACTGAAGGCCCCTTCTTAATGGTTCTCTGGCTTGGATTGGACCAGATATGCCAGCATCTCTTCACAGAGGTCAGGATTCCTGGGAGCCAGAGGTAAGGGGGAAGGCAGCATGAGGAGGAAGTAGGAAGATAAGACAAGGTAAGACAAGTTAGGAACATTTTGTCATTCATTTTAATAGTAGTAAAATATATACAGGTCTACAGGAAGCTTCAAAAAGTTTGTGGAAAATTCCATTATCTTTTCATTTGTCTATAAACTTGTTGAAGCCCCTCATATAACATAAGAATTGCTATTTTACGCATGTTAAGTACATAACTCAGCAGCATTAATTATATCCACCATGTTGTTGGATATAATTTTAATCACCCATAACAGAAACACTGTACCCATTAAGCATTGACTATTCATTGCCCTTCTCTCCCTGGCCATACCCAAAAAACCAAACTCACTGCCATCACATTGATTCCGACTCATAGTGACCATATCTAGGGTTTCCAAGACTGTAATTATGGGTGCAGACAGCCTGGAGGGTTTGAACTGGTGACCTTGCGGTGATTACCACTAATCTATTTTCTGTCTCTATTTGCCTATTCTAGCTATTTCATTTAAGTAGAATCATACAGTATTTTTCCTCCTGTGTCTGGCTTATTTTTCACTCAGCGTAATGATTTCAAGGATCATATATGTAGTAGTATATATCAGTATGCCATCCCTTTTTATGGCTGAATAATATCCCATTGTATGGCTATACAATATTCTGTTTATCTATTATTCATCTTGTGCTGGGCATGTGAGTGCTTTCCATCTTTTGGCTATTGGGAATAGAGCTCCAGTGAACACTGGTATACAAATGATCGTTCATTTTTAAATACATGGCAAATTGTTTTTTAGCTACCCTTTGCTGTGTGCCAGGCACATGGCTCAGGAAGATAAAGTGAATTGTCCAAAGTCATACAGTGTATAAGTGGCAGCTGAGATCTGATCCTACATTTTTCTGACTCCAAAGCCCATGTGTATGTGTTTGCTTGCTCGTTTCCAGTGAAAATTCATTAATGTGTCCTATAACAGTAAATAGCTAAGATCACAATCCTTTTACTTTTACTTTCTATCTTTTCTCCACTCTATGAAATATTTAGTTATAAATGCAGTTGTTCTTTTTGGTTTCTCCCCTTTCCCCATGTGTCCTAAAGATTAAAGTCCAGAGAGACAAGTTTAGATAAAGCATCTGGAACTTGGATTCTAACTCAGGTTTGCGTGACTCCAAAAGTTAGTGGTTAAGAATGTAGGCTCTGAGAGTAGACTCCCCTGAGTTTAAAACCTGCTCCCCAGCTCACTAGCAAGTTTCTTAACCTCTATAAGGCCTCTGTTTCTTCCTCTGTAAAATGGGTTCTGCCTCCTGTGCTTATAGAGAGAATTCAAAGCAAGAGTTCAGCATATACTAAGTGCTGAATAAATACTGGCTGTCCTTATAGTACTGCTGTTGTTATAACTTACCCAATCATTATTCCAAGCTCCTTGAGGGTCAGCGCTGTCTTTTAGTTAGCTTTATGTCTTCAGTGCCCAAAATTGTGGCTGTCACTTAGCAACACTCAAAAATACGTAGTAAGTGGACATATCATTCCTGTCCTCTACCATCTCCATGGTCAAGTGCTAATGGAGTCACAGAAAATGAATCCTTCTTGGCTCATTTTCCAGATCGGAGAACCGAGGTCCTGAAGATTTCAATGGCTGTAGGATACGTACTGTGAACTGCAAGGCTGGAAGCTCAAACCCACCAACTGCTCCTCAGTAACCCTACACAACTTGAGGCCCCCTAGCAACAACAATAACAACAGCAAGCAAGTGGATAGCAGAACCAAGACTGGGATTCAAGACTTCTACTTTGGAACAAGCCAATTTTTTACCCCCTCATTTAATTAAACTTTTGAAGGCATGGAAGCTTTAGGAAGCTGGACTAGGCGTTACCCACTTGCTGGCAGTTTTTGGGAGACAGGACCTTTGTGGAAAAGGCTGACCAGTGTGAGAAGATAGAGCAGAAACCCGATGTCTGGCCTGTGAGGTTGCAGAGAAAAGAAAAGCTGTGTGTGAGACAGGTGTGCTTTCTACAACCATGGCAAGAACTTCACGGAGGAAGAACTTCAAGAAGGAAGGCCAAGAGGCACCTGGAGCAGGGACAAATATTCCTGGAGGATTCAATGAGAGAAGACGCTCAGGTGGAAACAGGGTCTTGGGCCCCAGACTGGTAGAAGCTTATGCGTTGACTTTCTGGGGGTTCTCCTCAATCTTTAAACTTAGCAAAACCTTGGAGGGATAAGGAAGCAGGCTCATGCTTGCTGAGCACTCTCTGTATGTAAGCCACCACCCCATTAGGTCACAGATATCATCTAGTTTAATTACAGCAGCTCCTAAGGTAGGAACAATTAAATCCATTATGTTGTTGCTGTTGTTAAGTGCCGTTGAGTTGGTTCCGACCCATAGCGACCCTGTATAGTGTTTCCAAGGAGACACTGGTGAGCTTGAACTTCCAACCTTGCAGTTGAAACGGCTTTGCAGTTTGACTCATTAACCCACATGAGGAAACTGAGGCCCAGAAAGGTTCCTCTGAGCACAAAGCTCACAAGTCTGGGTATGTTCTTTCTGCTCAATTTCCCTACTTCCTAACTGGATTTTTTTTTTTTTCTCTCCCTACAGTGGTAGGTCACAGTCTAAGTGTGCTCAACAATTAGTAAAGTACCTGCCCTAGAAATTGTTGTAAAGATGATTCTGGGTGTGTGTGGTTCCTTCAAAAGCTTGAGGACACTTCAGAAGCAAGAAGGACATCTAAACAAAACCTAGCTACAAATTTATTCTACTCAGAATATTATAGAAGGGCTCCGACGTGCAGCATTTTGTTAGCCTACTTCCAGTTAATAGTAATAGCAGTGATAATTAACTTTTGTTGAGCATTTATTATGTGTAAGGCACTATGCTAACTACCTTCCATGTATGACCTCAGGAACCTAATGAAGTAGGTATTATGAAAAGTCCATGTGGAGAGGAGGTTAGGACCATTGGATTATTTGGAGTCTGACAGGTAAGGTTTGAATTTCTAATCATTTCATCACTGCCCCAGCTTTACAACATTAGGCAACTTACCTAATGTCTCTGAGACTTAGTTTCCTCATACGTAAAGTGAAGAACCATAGTAAAATGAGCAGAGAATACTACTTATGTCAAGTTAAGTGGAGTTCTGGTGTGGCACTGTGGGATAAGCACTGGACTGCTAACCACAAGGTCGGCAGTTCAAACCCACCAGCTGCTCCTTGGAAACCCTATACTGGGTCACTATGAGTCAGAACTGACTAGAAGGCACTTAACAACACCAACAACAACGTCCAGTGAGTGCCTGGAACAGAGTCAGCACTCCATAAGTAACACTGTGATTACTACAATGGTGGCAGTCCCGACTCACAGTGACCCTGTATAGAGTTTCTAAGGCTGTAAATCTTTATAGGAGTGGAAAACCTCACCTTTCTCCCACAGAGCAAATGGTAAATTCGAACTGATCTTGCAGTTAGCAGCCCAATTTGTAATCCACTACGCTACTAGGGCTCCTTACTATGATGGTGATGGTGGATATGTGTCATGGAGTCAGTTCCAACTCATAGCAACCCTGTATAGAGTTTCTGAGGCTGTTAATTTGAATGGAAGCAGAAATTCTCATCTGTCTCCTGTGGAGTGCCTGGTAGATTCCAACTGATGGCCTTGCAGCTAACAGCCCAACTAATAAGCCACTGTGCTACCAGGGGTCCTCATTTGGCTGAAGAAACGTACGGCTAAATAACTAGGACACAGGGCTGAGAGATGCACCAAGGTGGGAAGAAGTACACAGTTGTTCTTTGGTTACACCAGAAAGACCTATGCTTTTAAGCACTTTAAAAAGGAGCATTCTAATGATGTACTGATACATGCTACAACATGGATGAACCTTAGAAAGCATTATGCCAACTGTCATGGACTGTATGATTACATTATATAAAATGTCCAAAAGGTAGATTAGTGGTTACCAAGAACTGGAGAGGGAAGAATAGGGGGTTATTGCTTACTGCTTATTACCCCATTATTTGGGATAATGAAAAAGTTTTAGGAATAGACCGTGGTAATAAATGCACAACATCGTGAATGTAATTAATACCACTGAAATGTACTTTTTAAAATGGCTAAATATTGTATATATATATATATATATATATATATATAGAGAGAGAGAGAGAGAGAGAGAGAGAGAGAGAGAGTATTTTATCACATATGCAAAAATTTAAAACCAAACACCATTAACCCATCTAAGACTTCTTTCGAAAGAGACGTTTTCTAATTCAGCGAAGACCTTCTCCTGAGATTAAGTGAGGGCTGCCTAAGTGAACATCCAGAGGTAGTTCCTGTTGTTGTGTTGTTGTTAAGTGCCACAGAGTCGGTTCCAACACACAGTGACCCTGTATAGGGTTTGTGAGGGGCAGCTGGTGGGTTTTAATTGCCAATCTTGTGGTTAACAGTCCAGTGCTTATCCTACAGCATCACACCAGGACTCCAATATGGTGACAATGATAAAGATGTGTGGGTAGAAAAGGCAAGGCAGAAATTTCTGTCTCTCCAGAGCAACATAAAAAAGGTGACCTTTACAAAAGAGCGACAGAATGCATAGTGGTGCGTGGAGCAATAGCAGCAAAGAAGCAAGCAAAAGACGAATGAGGAGGAGGGAATGAGCCAGCAAAGGGAGCCAAGCCGTGAGGTGGACAGGATGTAGAGGCTGCCAATGAGAGTGCTGAATGGCTAGGGAAAATGGGAAAGGGGGCCTGGGGGGCTGAATGTGAATGCCCTGGGAAAGATGAATAGGCTTGAGTTAGGGAATGGAGAAGATACCTGAGAAACACACACACCAACAGACTCTTTAGGGAAGCAGCTCAACAGTCAGAGGACTGTAACTGGAAGGGGGCTTTCTTGTTTCATCTCCTCAAAGGAAGAAATCCACAAGGGAAAGAAGCTGAGAAATTGACTCATGGTCACATACTGGGTCAGCAGAATGGCTGGGGTTAAAGCCAAGTCTCTGGCTTTTCAGTACAGAGCTCTTTGCATCAGTGGTTCTTACGTTAAACTGTACGTAGACTTTTCCTACAGATCAAGTTCTAAATAAAGATTCCAAGAAATATGGATTCCCAGGCCCTAGGGCAGACCTATGAAATCAGACTTCATGGAGTTAGTGCTCTGGTACCTGTATTTTAACCATGCTTCTCTCTGCTGCCCACCCCCCCACACACACACACCAAGTGATAGGCTTTATGTTCCCATCAAGATTTATAGCCTTGGAAACCTATACAAGGTTGCTATCAGTTGGAACTGGCTCAACAGCATACAACCACCACAACCACCATTGGATAAGCACTGGACTGCGAATCATAAGGTTGGCGGCTCAAGTCCATCAGCTGCTCTGCAGTAAAAAAGATGAGGCTTTCTGCTTCCACAAAGATTTACAGTCTTGGGAACCCTATACAGGGTTTCTGTGAGTCAGAACTGACTCGACAGCACTTAACAACAACATTGACTTAACTCAATCTATCCAAAACATTCTCATTTCACATTATAATCAATATAAACACTATTAGTGAGGTATTTTACTTTCTTTTTTTGTTCATATTAAATCTTCCAAATCTTACATGCATTTTACCCTTAAAGCACATGTCATATTTAAAAAGCTCAGTAGTCACGTGTAGCTAGTGGCTACCACATTGGATAGCACAGAAAGAATGTTTTGAAATGGTCATCACAGAAAACGCTATTGGATAGCATTGGTCTAGACCAAGGGTCAGCAGCCTCTCAAAGTGGCAGGAAAATGTTTCTGCCCTTTCTTTTATGGTATTAAGAGTGGCAATCAAAGGAGGAGAAAAAAACCATTTTTGTATCTTTCTAGAAAGACAGCAGAATGGAGATCTGCTGACAGTGGAGTTGTTGCTTTTCATTGTGGAATACCATGTGGAATGTGTAAAGTATACACATCTAAGTATACAGCTCAGCAAATTTTCACACAGGTGGACATTCATATAACAACCACCACCCAGATCAAGATACAGAACATTTCCAGCATCCCAGGAGGTTCCTTCGGACCTATCAGTGTTAAGTGCTGACGAGTCAGTTCCAACCCATAGCGACTTTATATATAGGGTTTCTGAGGAGCAGCTCATGAGCTTGAACCGTTGACCTTGCGGTTCAAACCAAATCATACAGTATACTTTTTTGTGTTTGGCTATTTCACTCAATACAGCATCTGTGAGATTTTTTTTTTTTTTTCTTTTTTGATAGGTCTGATAAAATTCAGTCAATTTCCAGAGGGGTTTGAAGAAGTCCACCCCCACTTCACACTGTAAAGTTCTATATGCTGCCATTCCATCTCATCCCTCTTGTTTACCATGACCTTCATGGACTACAAAGAAATGGAGGAATATCAAGGCCCCTAAGATTCTAGCACCAGGAGGCCTGAAAGGTCAAAAGTTTGTAATCTAGCAAGGCAGATGGGACCAAGATCCACTTGGCAACACCTAGTGTCCTGTGATGGCGACGGAGACACAGGGACAGGACTATGTGGCACTCAGGCTGGTAGGACTTACTCCTGACTTCTAGCTTGTAGACCTGACTAATGAGGTTAAGCATGTATTTCTCCATCCTACTTCAGAATTCACTGTCAATCTTCTCTCTCCGCTTTTCGTAACCATTTCTGGGTTTGGAGCCTGAGACCCCCAAAAGAAACTGAGGAACAGTTTTGCTTCCCCTCCATACTCCAACTTGCTATATCTAGGGGAGTTACCACACTCCTCTGAGCCATAAACTGGGAAGGAGTTGGAGGAGGTGGGTGTCAAACCTGACACAGGGACCAAGTCACTTGCTGGGTTCTCAGATGGAAATGACCTTCACTGTTCCTTCCTCACTCTGATGGCTGTTGAGCTTCTTTCTCATAAACCTTACCTGTGGCTTCTTGTCCCTCTCCTCTGGGGATGGGTCTGTTTCTCTGTATACGACAGCTTTGGTTACCAGCATGTCAGGATGCTGCAGTTTGGCTTCCTTGATGGCTAAAGCCAGAGCCTGGTGGAAAATAACGTCAAAGTTAGGAACTAGTAAATACTGGATATGGGAGAGTCCTTGGAGATCAACTAACCCAAGCCACTTAGTGCACAGGGGCATGGTACTGAGGCCCAGGGAGAGGCAGTGGTTAAACAGAGTTAAAGGGAGAGACTAGAGCTCAGGTTATCCGGCTCTTTCTGTAGGGATCCTTGTCAGGACAGGATCAGTAGGAACTGGATACTTTATTTGACCTCAGGGAAGCCATCCATGGGTAAGTAACCCATTACATGAGAGTCTGGGGACTAGGCAGTGCCATGGGGAATAACATTCCTAATCCCATACCTGGTCTTGATCAACATCTTCATCCCCAGTAATAATGATTCGCTTCTCGATCCTCGTCTCAGAAAACCCTCCTTTCACAGTCTGCAGAGGAGAGGGTGGTGAGGTCACTCTTGGGTCCTGCTAGGGCAGCAGTCACAACAGGGGATCTATCCAAAGTGTGTCTCAAGGGCATGACTCAGGACCAGCAGTCACTTTCTCTCCTGGATTCCTCAGAGTTTCCTTTTCTGGTTTTGGGACTGGAGAGCAGAGCTGGCCTGGTTGCCTCCACTTTTCCTACTGCGAGTTTGTCCCATCTAGGTCTTCCAAGCCCAGCTCAAATGCTGTCTCCCTGAGCCTGGTTGGTAGCTGGAACACCATGTTTGTATCACTCTCCCAGTTCTGGGCCTCGCTGCCTTGTACTGACCTTGTTCACCTCACTAGGGTAGGGTCTGTGTTTTGTTCGTCTCTATATCTCTGACCCTCTCCCATTCCCCTGTCCACTCTGACCAGGGCAGGTGCTGAATGCAGATTTGTTGAATGAACACATGAATGAAATGTGAATGGTTACAAGGTTCTACCTTAAATGACTCCAAACAACACTACAAAAGGAAATTTTGTTATTGATACTTATAACCTCTGTTGTCTTCTGAAGGGATTGGGGTTTGGGTGCAAGTTTATAAGAAGATGGGATAGAACCATAATAAAGGAGGGTGATGGCTGCAAGAAATCTAAGCTGGAGTCAGAAGGCAACTTTGCTGGGGTGGGGGGTGCAGGGGGATATTATTGAGCAGAAAGAAAGAAAAGGGAGCCTCCAGTTGGCAGAAGCAAGAGAGACTTTGGGAAGACGAGTTCACTGAGCTATGTGCTGTGGGATATGTGATAGAAAACCTTCCCATGAACCTTCAGTGCAGCTGGCATTGCTTGTGAATGCTTTTGGTGAGATTGGGTTCTTGCTGGGGGATGTAAAGAGATTCAGAATCCTTTATAGGAACATGCAGAGGCTGGGACTGTGTGTGTGCACAACGGGCCAGTACTGCCTGCGAGACTTTTCCATTTGGATGGCTCATCAGAACCTCCAGCTCAGCGTGGCTCTCTGGCCTCTCTCCTCCAGGTCTCTATCCCAGACCCAGGTCCTTCTTGCCTTCCTCCTGGCCACTCACTCATTGATGCATCAGACACCTGCCTCTCAGCCCTTTGCCCTGATCGGCTGAGTCACTGGATTTTAACTGGTACCTGTATTTTAACCATGCTGCCTTCTTTGGTCCTTTCTGTCCTTCTCCCATTCCATAATTCTTCCTCTTTTTCTCCATCTACTACACATCCTGGTGGACCCAACAGTATCTCCTTAAATGGTCTCACTGGAACACTCATCAATTAAAACACCTTGACTAACAGCTTTACAATGTCTCTGAGACTCAGAGCCTCTATAATCAGATGCGTTCTGGTATGTGTCTTATTTGTTTGGATAGTCTGCTTCCCCTGGCCTCTATCCAACGGCCCACAGTCACACCCCTACATGCATCTTCTTCCTGGTAGATCCTGCTCCTCCTGCTTCCTACAAACATGCATCGCTTACGGCCACCTCCTTCTAGCACTGCATCTGGTATAAGGTTGATACTAACATTTGCTCAATGAATGAACAAACAAATATATACAGTTTCTGCTCCCATCTTCTGCTTTGCTCAGAAATGCTTGTATCTGTCTCCTTCTCCCTCACAAATCCTACCTCATTTTCCAAGACCCTGCTCAAACCCCACTTTTCCCAGGAAACTCTTCCTGACTTTTCTGAAGCCCTCAGACTTTTTTTTTACCTTGTGCCTCTTTAAATTCTTCCAGCACTTAAAGCTTATAAGGCACAAATGCATGGCTCACCATTACTCAAAAATTATATTCCCCTCGGCCCCCCAACCCAGCTGTAAATGCTGTAGGGGAAGAGTCCATGCCTAAGGCAACATGTAGCACAGAACAAAGGGCACAACACTCAAGAAACTGGTAATAGCATCGCTTTCCTTGGTTCACGTTACAGATTACGAAGCCCAAAACAGCACAGCCAGGGTCAATGACCTTCCCAAGCCCCTGAGCTAGGCTGGGACTATAGATACCCTTGCTGCTACTCACTTTGGTAACATGGGTGGTGGTGGAGGTTGAGAGGGTTTCCGCAGTGGCGCCGTAGGTGCTGGTGAGGACATCTTTCCCGATGATCTGTAGAATATAACCACCCCCCACCCAGGGTGTCAGGTAAGGACACTGGACTCTGAAGGGGTGGGGCTGGGGTAGGGTAAACCAAGGGAAAGGAAGGGCCCCATGACGGCGAAGTTTGGAAGTCAAGATGCTCAGAATCGTTGTGTTAAGAATTCAAGAGTACTGAAAACTTCAGAATCCTCGAGTCATAAAATTCTCAAACTCTGGAATCTAAGATTCCTAGAGCCAGACATTGTTCAGAATCCTAACAGCACCCTAAAATTTAAGAATCCTAGAATCTTAGAAGGACAAAGGTGAAAACAGAACCCTCCTGACCCCCCATCCTGTCAGAACCAGGAACATGCTCTCTCCAGGACTACATGATGAGAATGACAGAAGCTGCAGAATGCAATAGCTGAAAGAGATCACACAGTGACATACTCAGGGTCACAGGGGTGGCCACCAACACAACCAGGTCTAGAATCCAAGCCTCTGGACTCCTAGTTTAGGGCTTTTCCTGAACAGTGACATTAATAAAGAAAGCAGATAGATGTAAAAGAGCTGTCAGAGGTGAGAAGGTGAAAGGCCATTTTACACATAATTGTTAATGCCAACTTAAGTGTGTGTGCATATGTGTATGTGTGTGTGAGAGAGAGACAGAGCAGGCAGGGCTGTTGTGGAGGGCAGAAAGACGAGACACTTGTGTGCACCAGGGAGCCCTGTGGGCACCTGAACACAATCCAGCTTCCTGGCACTGTACTTCAAAAGGCAGCCTTCGGGACTCAATGGTGCACTGGTAGCGGGCCATCTGTGGAGCCACGCCCACATTCTCAGTGTTGAGTCCCCTAGCCTGAGCTGGCTCTGCCCACTTACCGGAGAAAGAGAACGGATTTCCGTGGCCACCGTCTGTGGGCCTGGGATCATGGCAGCTGCCCCCTTCCCGGACTTGAGACTGTTCTCCTGGGGAAACAATAGTGCTCAAATTGCCAGGTCTCAGGTGGGCAGGCCCCTGGGATGGCCAAAGCAGGTGGTCATATGGCTCTCACAGCCATATGGCTGAGTTGTAACATAAAAAGCAGAATCTGAAGGCATTCAGTTTACTGTCCTCTCATTCAGGTAGTCATCAACTGCTCACTCCCACATACTCCTTACAACAAACTTTTACTGAGTGCCTGGCATTAGGGACACTGTGGTGAACAAGACACATTATTGCTCTCTGGAAGCACTAATATAGGAGTTGAGACATTCAGGTTTTCTTACTGGCTCTGCGCCCCATTCAAGCCATGTGACTTGGGGCAGAGCCACTTCCTTCTTATGAATTCATCTGTAAAAAGGGGCCCCCTGTGCCACCTTCCATGGAGCCTTTATGGGACTAATGGAGAAGAGCTTTGCAAACCAAAATCTGTAAGATAAATGGAGGAGCATTAAAAATAGAATAGTAGCTGCTGTTTTCTGAGTGTTTGCTATGTGCTAGGCATTATGCTGAAGATTTTATATGTGCTATCTCATTTAACCCTACTCTAGAAAAATGGTTTTTCTTTTTAAATTCTGTTTTACAGATGAGAACTGGAGGGTCAGAGAATATAAGCTCCCAGCAAGTTAGTGACAGAGCCAAAATTTAAATCCATGTTTTTCAGACTTCAAGTCCTACATAGTCTTTCTGCAACATCACTCTGTCCTTGCAATTTGTACTCCTGAGTCAGTTCCTTTGGTCCTACTTAAGATTCTAACTTCTGGATCTGGCTGGATATTCCTGGACTCATCTATGGACTTACTGCCCTCTCTCTGGCAAGGGGCCTGGCTGCCTGCTCTGCCTTCCACTTTTTGTTCTATGTTAGAGTTTAGCCTTATTGGTCCTGGGTCCCTGTGTCTGCTCTGAAGTTCTTCAATGGACTGAAACCCAGTCCTAGTCTGTGTATGGCATAGACCTAAAACTCTACCTGCTCACGGGCCTATCCCCTACACCTGTCCCCAGCTTCAGGCTGACACTGAGCTGATTATTTGGTAATCCATCCAGAAGACACTTTCTCAGACTCACCTGGAGTCCCAGAATGTGACCCAGCAGTAGGTCTTCAAAGGGCAGCCTTCCAGGCTCAAGGCTTCATTTCTCTCAGCTTAGGAAACAACGCTGACCCTTTTGGGTCCTACTGTTACTCTGAGTCATTCTCCCTTAAAGCTCTCACTGCTCCCTCACCTCCACCTTCACAGTGAAGAGGCCACGAAGGAGATGGTTCAAAACAAGACTCCATCTGTTCCTTCCTGCTCCTCCGGGATCTTGAGCCAGCCCATTTACTGGCCTCAAGGAGTTCTTCCTCTCCCTTGCCAGGTGAACCACCATCTCCATTCTAGACCCTTCTTTCTTCTCCCTTGCCAACTTCTTGCTGCTAGTCTACCTTAGCCACTCAAGGGTTTCTGCTGCCTTCTCAAGGTCAATTTCCCCTATATCTCTTTATCTGTAGCCTATATCTTTCTTGAATCCTAGATTTTAATTTCCAATATCTCTGAGACATTATTCCCTGGAAATGTCCCACGGGGATATTTCAGTCTCAATAGATTCAAAATGGAATTCTCCTTCTCCTCCAGTGTTCTGTTTAGATCAGTGGTTCTCAAACGGAGGGCTTATGAAAACAGACTGCTGGGTCCCACTCCAGACTTTATGGTTCCATTGGTCTGGGATGGAGGCTAAGAATGTACAATTATAATAGATTCCCTTTAAGAACCATTGGATCACAGGACCACACTTTGAGAACCACTGGGCTACTAAATGCATCCCTAGCTGGAGGAAGATACCATGTTTGGTAAAGTGGAGGGTTGGAGAAAAACAGGAAGACCCCCAACAAGATGGATTGGCACAGTGGTGGAAGTGATGGGCTCAGGTGTAGCAGCAATTGTGAGGTTGGCTCAGGACCACGCAGTGTTTCGTTCTGTTGTGCATAGGGTCATTGTATGTCAGTACTGACTCAATGGCACCTAACAACAATAGCCTTTCTTCCCTTTTGTCATCTGACTATTGTATCACTGATCATATCCTATACATTCCTCCCTTCAGGCAGTTTTTACCTCTGTCCCCTCCTTACACTCTGGGCCTGCCCCAGTTGGCTGCCAGCCTCTAGATACCTCTCTACTGCCTCTTTCTGGTCCTTCCGTTGGCATGTGGACCCTGGAGCTCAACAACTCTATCTTCATTAGTGCTGGATTTACAGTGCCTGGCACAGTACCTCACACATCGTGGGTGTTCAATAAATATTTGTAGAGGGAGAGAAGGAAGGAGGGAGGAGACAGGCAGGGAGGGAGGAGAGGAATTTTTGTCTCAGTCCATATGCTCCACACAGGCTGCGAGAGTAATCTTTTCAAAACATGGAAACATGTGATCAGCACATCATGGCCCTACTTAAAATAGTCCAGTGACTTCTCATTGTCTCCAGGATCAAGTGTGAACTTCTTACATAACATTTTAGGCCCTTCAAGGTTTGGCCTCAACCTTCCTTTCTAGGCTTTTCTCCCCTTGCTCCTCCAGCAGACACGTGACATCTCGATTCACTGACCAACCACTGACCACGCCATGTTCCTTCCTATGCTTGCCTCTGCACCTGCTGTTCCCACTCTGTCTAGATCACCTTCTTCCATGGGGGTTCCTTTAGCTTATTCTTCACTCATAGCCCAACTGTCACTGCCAGGGAACGCCTTCTCCAGCTCTTGTCCCCATATCTTCCCTCCCTATGGACCCTCATCACTACTGCCATCAAGTTCATTCTGACTCATAGCAACCCGACAGGACAGAGTAGACCTGCCCCAGAGGGTTTCTGAGACTTTACAGGAGCAAAAAGCCTCATCTTTTCCCCATGGAGCAGATGGCAGGTTTGAGCCGCTGACTTTGTAGTTAGCAGCACAATGCTTAATCCACTGCTCCACCAGGATAGTATTATCACTCTGTTAAGTTCCATGAAACCAGAAAAAAATAAAAAATAAAAATAACAACAGCTCATGCTTACAGACCACTTACTATGTGGCAGGGATTGTGCTAAGGGCTTGGCACAGATTCTCTTAGTTCATTCTCACACCAGCCCTTTGAAGTATGTGCTATTATTCCCCTCAACCCCCATTTTACAGAAGTGAAAACTGAGGCTTGGAGAAGTTTGGGTAACTCGCCCCTGGTCATCCTGCCAGGTAGTGGAAGAGCTGGGCCTTGTTCACCACTGGTGCCCAGGGCCTGACCCCAAGTGTGCAACACATTAACAGTGCCTGTGAATGTTTTTTGGATACATGAATTCTTTAACTCTGTATCTCCATACTGGACAGAGAGTACAGGCTAATAAATGTTTTTGGAACAAATGAATGGATGATGGATGGATGAGCAAATGAACGACATGAACTACCTATTCACCATAAGAAGAAATTTAAATTTAGCCCCATAAGTGTCCCAGTGCCATGTGGTGAAGGGCTGAAGGGATACTGTGTAAGCTGGTAGTAGGTTTGGGTTTGTTTACTTTAAAATAGTTGCTTATTCAGAACCTACTTGCTGGGTAGTCTAAATTGATAACCTTCACCTCCTATGCATGTATCAGGGGTTTGGCAGTTGAAAACAACTTCCAGTAGCTCACACCTTCTCTAGCCTTAGTCCCCAACCAGCCCTGCCCAGCTGGCCTGTGCACTGGTCAGGATAAGGGAGCAAGGCAAACAGTTGAGGTTGAGAGTGGGACTTCTAGAGGCACATTGCCTGGGTTTGACTGGGCTCTACCACTTAGTGCTTATGTGACCTTGAGTAAGTCACTTTGTCTTTCAGAATGTCAGTTCCCTTGTCTGTAAAAGGTACAGAAAAATGAGCATCCAGCTCAGAGTTGAGGAATCAATCCTCATAGTGAGGATTCAATGAGACAATCCATTCACAGTTCTCAGCACACAGCTTGGCACCATGGAGCATGTGCCAAACACTCTGCTCTAATTCATCTTTATCTTATTGGGATGTCACAAAAGCCTGTGAACCAGGCAGGATGGGAGATTCCCATTTTACAGATGAAAAAATCAGAGGCTAAAATAGGGAAAGGTTCTTCCTTCATGGGTCAGACAGTAAAGGGGTGGCAGAACCACAAGAGCTTGTCCAATAGCCTGAATTTCCAATTTAGGGTCACCAAACGCCATCTACTGACCAAGGTGAGGAAGTGGTCTGAGACAAATGAGAAAATGCAAAGCCTCAACGAGGGGATGGTTTTCTGGGAAGGGCCTTCAGACTCTCCTTCAGTCACAGTGAGACTCACTAGCACAATCCCCATTGTTATCTCTAATCACATAATACCATACTGAACCTGACCCCCTCCCATGATTCAGATGGTCCAATCATAGAGACTTAGGGATTCCACCCTCCCACATGACTCATTTTGAAAAACTGAGATCTGACTGTATCTCCTGTGAAAACTAACATACCATCCAGTAAGAACTGACTGTATGTCCCAGACCTGGTGCAGTGTGGGGGTGGGGGGTGGAGGGGTGGGGTGTGGCTGGGGTCCCTAGGGAGCTGATGAGAACCCCCTGAAGCTCTGGGGTGATGTTAGCTTGTCATCTGGCTAGTTTGGAGGGAGAAGGCATTGGTCAGAGAGGGAGGGAGGCCTCCTGAGTTCTACTTACCATGGTGGTTGATATGGTTTCCGTGGTGATGGATGGGGTTGTTGTTATGAACTCTTTCCCTGCTGGGGCACTCCCATCAATCTGCAGGCCAAAGGAGAAGTTGTTAGAGGCAGGGAAAGCCAGATTCACCCTGCAAACAACTTCATCTGGGCTCATGGCATTCTCAACCATAACAGAGCTGAGGGGCTGTGATTGTGCACTGAAGGAGGCCATGTTTACACACTCGATGGCCTCAGAGCTCCTCCTGTTCATTTCATCCCTCCTAACGGAGGAGTCTTGCTATGTTGCTATGGATTCATGCACTGGACTGAAAAGTTGGTTTGAACTGAAAGGTTAATAGTTCAAGCTCACCAGCCACTCCTCGGAAACCCTATACAGGGTCGCTATGGGTTGGAATTGACCTGATGGCACTTCACAGCAACTGGAGACCTGAGGAGTTCTGGTGTGGCAGTGTGAGTTAATACATTGGACCGCAATGTCAGTTTGAACTGCAAGGTCGGTGGTTCAAACTCACCAGCAGCTCCTTGGAAACCTTATAGAGTGTCACTATGGGTCAGAATCGACTTGACAGCACTTAACAACAACTGGAGACCTGGTGTGGTGCTGTAGGATCAGAACTGAACTGACAATCACAAGTTCTGCACTTCAAACCTATCAGTTGCTTCTTGGAAACGATATATAGGGTCACTCTGAGTTAGACTCGACCCAATGGCACTTAACAACTGCAGCAGCAATTGGACAAAGGACAATGAGCCCTGACAGTGTGGCAAATACTATCTAAATCTAAGTGCATAAAGATCCCAGCCTTGAGAACCCTGTGGAGCAGCTCTACTCTGTACACAGGGTCAGTCACCCTGAGTCTGAACAGACTCAAGGGCAATTAACAACAACATCCTTTCACCAAGCATTTCCACTGCTAGAAATGTACTCTTACCATACACATTCTGAAAAAGTCAACAAAAGTTATACACGAGGAAGTTCACTGAAGCATTGATTGTTAACTGCGAAAACCCAAAACTACCACAAAGACCATCAATAGGAAAAGGACTACAGAAATAAAGATTCACTTCCTAAGTGGAACAACAAAAAAAAAAATAATAAAGTAGATGTATAGTGGGAGTCGACTTCCATAAAGATGATAGCCTTAGTAACCCTAGGGGTGGTTCTACTCTGCCCCACAGGGCCTCTAAGAATTGGGATGGACTTGACAGCAGTGGATGGGCACTGGGTATAGCCACCAATAGGAATGGTCTCTAAGATAATTATTAAGGAAAAAAATGGCAAGGGACAAAATAATATGATCTTGTGTGTGTAAACAGTTAACTACATAGAAATACAGGTGTATATACGAGCTTCAAAAAAGTTGTAGAAAAAGTAGGCCATTATCTTTTGATTCCATTTTGCCTCAAACTTTTTGAAGTACCTCATATATTGATATATGGGGGTTTTTTTTCCTTGGAGGAAACATAAGAAAATTTTCATTTTGTTCTGTTTGAATTTCATAACTATATATTTGTATTTATTTTGTTTTGATATCAGTAAAGATTCCTGAGCTGTGGGATTTCAGGCTACATTTTCAGGTCTTTTCTTTATATTTCTCTGTATGGAAAACAAAACAAATAGCAACATATGCAACTAAAACAAAATAGACCAGAGAGGGGAAGCAGCTTGCCAGTGGTCACACACCCCATCAGGACTCAAGAGTCTTGCCTAGATGGCCTCCTAAAACCCCTTGTTGTTGCTGTTGTTAAGTGCCGTCGAGTCGGTTCCGACCCATAGCGACCCTGTACAGGGTTTCTGAGGGTGTAAATCTTTACGGGAGTAGAAAGCCTCATCTTTCTTCTGCGGAGCGGCTGGTAGTTTCGAACTGCTGACCTTAAGGTTCGCAGCCCGATTCGGTAACCACTACGCTACCAGAGCTCCTCTAAGCATGTTATAAAACTAGAAGGAAAAAAATCTAGAAGAGACACAATTGTACATATTGTGGTTGTTTATGTAATACTTCAGTCCTTGAGACAGAGACTGGGCTCCAGGACAAGAAAGCTACAAACACTAGAGCTGTGCTGACCAGAAAGAACCAAGAGGATATCGATCAGACCCATAAACCTCAATCTTCAACGTTTAAAACCCACTGAAGGAACTGACTTCCTTTTGCTCACATCAACCATCAACACTCATGGAAGCAGCAGTCAAGAAATCAAACGATGTATTGCATTAGGCAAATCTGCTGCACAAGACTTCTTTAATGTGTTCAGTTTGAGGAGTAAGGTGCACCTGACCCAAGCCATGGTATTTTCCACAATCTCATGTGCATGTGAAAATTGGACAGTGAATAAGGAAGGCAGCAGAAGAATTGATGCATTTGAGCTAATCGATGGCATTGGAAGAGAATACTGAAAGTACCACAGACTGCCAAAAGAACAAACAAATCTATGTTGGAAGAAGTACAATCAGAATGCTTCTTAGGAAATCGGATGGCCAGACTTCATCTCTCATACTTTGCACATATTGTCAGGAGGGACCAGTCCCTGGAGAAGGATATCATGTTTGATACAATAGAGGGTCGGAGTAAAAGAGGAAGACCCCCAACAAATTGATGGCATGGTTGCAGCAGCAATGGGTTTAAATGTAGCAATGCCTGTGAAGCTGGCACAGGACCAGGCAGAGTTTCATTCTGTTGTGCATAGGGTCACTATGAGTCGGTACTGACTCGATGGAACTGAGGAGATGCATTGTAAGTACTGCATCTATGTCTGTTGTGACTGCTTTCTTCAGCTGTTAAGATAAATGATCAGTTCATTTATTTTTCCAGTCTGATGCGGAACCCCTATTTATATAAAATGATGTAAGGTGAATTGTTCTGACTAAAGCTTCATTGAGAATCACTCCCTCTTCCCTCCCAAAGAAGCCCCTTTTAAGGTACACCTCAAGAAATCTCTCTGGCTCTTTTACATCATCTGAAATATTGCTGTCTTAATCCACTACACCTCCTAACATTCCTAAGAAAAAAGTGGACACAGATCATCCCCATTTTATGGATGAGGAAATTAAGGCTGCAAAAGGCTGTGGTCTGTCCAGAACAAGAACCCAGGGAGGGCACTGAGGCTCATCAAAGTATCAGGGTAAAAATGTGGGCTCCAGAGGCGTTAAGGTTGGCCACAAACCTTGTGTTAAGGATACATGGGAAGGCACAGATTACCTGGGTGGTATCCACAGTGGTGGCTCTGGTCTGCAGTACTGCCTCTGGCTCAATCTTCTTCCTGATGGCCAGGCTGCTGACAGTCATGGTTTCTGTTTTCACTGGCTGTAGGGAGATGAGAGAGAATATTCCATAACTCAAGCTCTCACAATTGTGGCATAGGGTCAGCAGGTCTTGTCTCACCAATGAAGTTAGCCACAGTCTCTAACTTTATTGGTGAGAGAAGGGTATTTGAATCAGGGCAAAAGAGGCATGGTATGGTGTCACAAACAAAATAGTCCAACGGGAAAGCCAGAACATCACCAGCACCCAGACAGTCATGTACCATGATGCCACCCAACACTACCTCATTGTGGTTTCATACTGTTTTTTAGGCTACCATTAAAACAGCATTTCCAGTATTCAATTAATATTCTCTAGGCCAGGCCCCACACTAACGTCACTGAATCCTGAAGGGCTTCAATAGTTATGCCACTACCTCCCACTTGCTTCATTAGAATTGTTCTTCAGAGTAGGAACCACACACTTGGATGCCTATTGGGGTCAGGCAGGAGATGTAAATGAGTGAGGTGGATTTGCTGAGTACCAGGATGAATTAAGAACACATTTTGTTCCTCTCAGATAGCACCAGCTATTGCCACTCAGGAATGGAGGTCCTGAGTGGCCAGATCTTCTGATTTTTCAATGACATTTAAAAATCTGAATTTTATGTCTGCTTTAAGCATTGTGAGCTTTTAAAAACTACAACGGATCAAACTGACAACAGCAATGCAAGAGATTTGAGAGGAATCTTAACGGGCAGTGAGTTAATGGTAATGAGGGAAGAACTACTCAGAAAAAGAGAGTGAGAATGGTTGCAGAACTCAAAGAATGTAATTAATGTCACTGAATTGTACATGTAGAAACTGTTGAGTTGGTGAATATTTTACCATGTATATTCTCAACAAAATAAAATAAAACACAAGACAAAAAGTCTGAATTTTATAGTCAATGTCCTGATTTTTAAATCAGGGTCAAAGAAACATATCTACTACCCAGATCTGGTCTGGGGCTGTCAGTTTACAGCCTACTCTAGAAATCATCAGTTTTTTCTGAGGCCTCCACTGGGCCTAGGTCATGGCTCTACACACTATGAGTTTGAATGAATGAATGAATGAATGAATGAATGAAAGACGAGCTTGTTATCTGGTGGGATGGCAATGGAGAGGATTCATACTGATAGCTGTAATCCTGAAATCTACTGATTCTTTTCAATGCTGGGATATGCCAGGCCTCAAGCTAGGTGTGGTCCCACCTGGTAGGACACTACACCTGTCAGCCTGACTACCTGACTACTGCAGATGATGCAGAGTCAAAGGAGGGGGCTGTGGAAGGAGGAAACCTCTACTCAGGATTGTCAGGGACATTTGTAATAAGGAACTGCCATCTGAATTGTGTCTGGAACATGACACGTTTGTAAGGCAGAAAAGGGAGAAAGCAGTGATGTCACTACAGAGGTACAGACCTGACTGGGTGACAATGTCAGAGGAGGTGACACTGAAGTGACCATCTATAAAATGTTTGTGTAGTGTTTCAGCAGAAATGTATTGCTTTTAAATAAAAATATTCCTGTAGCCATAACACAAACATTTTTTAGAAAACGAGTTTACATGTTATCAATATACCTAAAAGTCTAATGTACTTATTGAACCTTCCATTCACTGTGGTCAAAGCTGTCATTAGTACCCAATTAACCATGATGTTTCCAATCATGTGGTTTCATCTGCAAGCACTAAAAAGCATCTCCTGCTGTTTTATTTGCTCTGGTGTTTTTATAGTTACTGATTTTGTCAGTTTCTGCTGTTTTAGCTAGGATATTGTGCTCAGTATTTGTGAATCTGTATCAATTAACCTTTTTGAGAATGAAATAATAAAGGAAAATAAAGAGAAAGATGGAAAACAGCTTCTGTTCAGTTACAATGTTATGATAATGTAACTCAATATAAAAATTTTTACAAAACAACTTTCCTTTTGGTATTCATATAATCTAGGAAATGTTACATTCAAGCAATTGACAACTATATTTATCACATTGTTCTATGGTTAAAATTGATACAAAAAAAAAAACATGACTAAGGATTCTGTATGGTCTGGAATGGAGGCGGTCCATAGTGGGGGGCTGGGGGGCTGAAAGTGGTGACAGCAATCCTAGCGATTCCACTGGAAAAAACCGTATACTCAGAGGGTACATCATGGAGTGAGAGATTAGAGCAACTGGCACATGGAGGAAAGGAGAGTGTGAGGGGAGGTAGGCTGGGACTGGAAGCTGTGTGTCAGCAAAGGAATGATGTGAAAAAAGATCCCTTTGTAGCTCTATAGAGGAGGGCCATGCTCAATGAGACATTTCCTCTTCTCTAGGAAACTTCCACTACCACCTGAAGACCTCAGGGCTAGATGGATAGAAACTGCTGCCTGTTCTCCAGGAAGCCCATGCCCTGCAGAGAAGAGCCCGGGTCTGGATCAGGAAAAACCTTTCAACTTTCAGACCAAGTCACAGGAGTCCCTGAGACTCTACAAACACAAGCTCTCTGCGAGTGCCGTGCAACACAAGCAGGGAGAGGAGAGGAGCTGAATAAGACCAGTCTGCCTCCCACCCCTCCCACCCTGCCATCATCTGATCCCAGGCAAGCGACGGGAGCACAGGGTTAAAATGCCAACGAGTATGTGTTATGGTTAACTGACATGGCAGCATGCGATCACAGAACCATGCTGTTCTGTAGGGGGCAGTCATGCAACATGAGACCAGGCTTCAGGGTACAGGACTGGGCTGCAGGCTGACTACTCAGTCTTCTCATAGAGGGCCCAGGATCCTCTGAACATGCAGTGTTGTGAAGAGACCCGTGGGGGTGGGCCTGAGTCTCAATGATGCTCCACTGTACCTCAAACTGGGGCATATCCGGAGTGGAGCAGGCGTCTCGATCCGGGCTGTCCTCGATTTCCCCAGACTCATCATCCTGGTTTGGGACCCCCTTGCTGAGATCTCGGGAGAACACCAGGCCCTCGGTTTCTGAATCACTTTTGTCTCGATCAAGCTCAGGCAGGCTGCGGGAGAAATCTTCAAAGGCGCTGCCATGGTAGTCACCGATAACCGTGAAATCCACTTCCGCCTCCAGGCTGGATGTGGAGCTGACCGTGATGCTGGAGCACTTGCGCTCAATGGCCAGGTGGTTGTCCTTCAGGAACACCGCATCCCTCTCCTGGTCCTGGTCCTCGTCTCCTGTGTCACTCTCTGGAGCCCTGGGGCGTGGTGGTTTGACTTTCTCCTCTGAGCCCTCCCTCAGCCCTGCTCTCTATGACCAGAGAAAATCAAAGGAACAGGGATGTGGGGTAGGGAGAGAAAGAGAGAAATCAAGACGGTAAATGTCAGAAGAAATCCAGGGCCACGTCAAATGGAAGAGCAAGTCAGGAAAAGAAAAATGTTCTCAGGAAAGTTTCCTTAAAACATAACAAGCTTATAAAAACAAAAACTTCTCAAGAGTGAAAATGCTCCTTTCTGAGGGGTCCTGCCAATCCAGCCACTAATGGCAAAAGCAAGTATAAAGCAAACATCCTGCCAGCTGGTCCTGGACAGGAGGCTCCATTCAATCTTTGGATCTAGGAGCTTATCAAAAGCAGCACTGTACAAAAGGCAGGGATGGCAGCCTAGATTCCAGGCCCATCCATGCAATCAGCATTGAGAAACAGAAAATAAGGAGACCCAGGAATTCAGGGAAACCCAGGAGAGAGAGGCTGGAGCCATGAAGAGCAAAGAAGAAGCCAATTGGGTTTGTCAATTTCACTGAGTCTCAGTGGGAGGGGTCAGCGCTAGTTAAAGGCAGGCACATTCTGGGGTAAGGACCTTCGGGCACAAGCTCCCTGGGAACTTGGTGCTGTACCAATTCAACTGTGAACTCCACAAGTGGGTCAGCGGGTGGGCCACAGAGTGGAAGTTCTGGTCCCATCAGTGTAATTGACAACAGCAGGCCAAGGAAATGCCTAAGGGGAACCAGCAACTCTTGTCCGACATACATACCTCTCAACTGTCCGGTCAAGGATTAAACAACACACAGATACTTTTTGTTTTTTTAACTGGTTCGTGACATTCTTTTTTCAAATCAATGTAACACCCATAAAATATTTTAAAAGTGCTTGGCTTCAAGTTCTGGAGATTCAGCACACTTAGATTCACTTGCATGGGGCACAATGCCCTAAACGAGCCTTCCCTTGGCCAGTTTCTGGAAGGTTGAGAGGTGTGAGGAATGCATTCCAGACAAGCCAGAGTTGAGCAGCCACAAGAGGCACTGCCAGAGGCAGGTGGGAATCTAATGCAACTATGCATCCTTGCAGGTGAAGATGACTGGGTCATCAGGACAGAGAGGAACCACAGAGACCTGAGGGCCTGAGGGGCTGACGAATTTCGGGCGCCCTCCCTTCCCAGGGGTGTCCTCTGTTAAGCTGGTGAAGTGCTTCTCTTCCCTGATTGCATCTCCGGATTTGTTCTGGATTAGAGAAGATGGTTAGTCTTAAGGAAGCAGAAAACACCTTGGCACTGGGACCAAGAGGGAACCAGAAGTGAAGATAGGAACCTCTACTCTAGACTGTCAGCTTCCTCGAGTCAGGAGAACCAGGCAAGCAGAAGGATGAAGGAAGATCACTGGATTAGCCAAGCAAGACAGATAGGTATCTAGCAGGTGGGAGCGCCAAGGCAAAGCAAGTGTGTAGTTGGATGGTGGTATTGCTAGCTTCTCCACTGGAATTGTGTGGACCCTCTGGGCACCAGATCACACCAAAAGCTGGGGGTCTTTAGGGTCAAGCTAACATGTGTCAAGCAGATGAACCCATCTCAGGCCCATCTTGGGAAAAGAACCAAAGGGATAAATAAGCAGCTTCTGATTGCAGTAAATAAATGATAAGGGGGCACTGAAACATGCTTCTAAAGAGCTATGCAGCATGCGGTCAGCTCCCCCAAGTGGGGGTGGGGGCCATGTGGCCAGTTACCCCAGTAGCTTCCTCCAGCGTGGTTTCACAGCCTGAATCAGGAGATAAGAGCTCTAGTTCCATGCATCCTTCCTGGTGGGATGTGGTAGAAGCACTGTCACCGAAGTGTCTGGTTGCCAGAGGCATTGCTGAGGAAAGTGTAGCTTTGTGGTTGGCGAAGTCCCCTGGGGGCTGCAGCTGGATGAAGCCCAGGTCTAAAAGCTTATTCCGCTGTTGTTCTACCTGGCCTGCGGAGACCTCGGGAGAGAACTCATTTAGAAGGGTTCTTATTTCACCCGGACTTGCTCGGTGAGTTTCAGCTCCATGGGTCTCAAATATCCTAATTTTGTTGGCCACTGAGGTCTTGCTAATATCTTCCAGGGAGCCGCCTTGGACCCCAGCCTGACAAGAGGTCATCTCCTTTTTCTCTTCTGAAGAAAACACCAATTCCAAGGGTATGGTCCTCTCAGCTTCTTCAGGGATCATTCTGGGCTTCCTGCTGGTGATGGGAGGTGCTCTGCGCTCACCGCCATCAAGGGTCACAGCCAACCGCACTTGGTCCTTGGGATCAAGGCTTTGGTTGGGAGAATGCGCATATCTGAGAAACACAGGAAGATGTTCTTCAAAGGGATCCCTGAGCTCTGATCGCTCCTCTGATTCACGAGGGGCTGGGTTTTGAAATGGCCCTTCTGGAGCTTCCCGAGACTCAACTTGATCAGAAGAAGCTGGAATAGGCGTGATCACCTCCATCTGAAGAAATGCTGAGGCCTCACTGTCCTCCGTCTCAGGTTCTCCTATTTGGGTATAAAACAGTTTGCCCAGTTTGACTGTTTTACTTACACCATTAGGAGGGATGGTCAAAGGAAGGTCTGGTTGTACACCCTCTCCTCTTTGAGGTGAGTTGTTCTTCAAAGCTGCTGGAGACCTTTTCTTAGCCTTTTCCATGAAATCTCCACTCATAGGGGCCTCTTTCTGTTGCAATGCACTGGCTATTGGGTGGATTAACTCTCCTTCCACTCCCTGCTGGACATCCTCCCAGTTCTCAGCAAATGTCTGCTCTGGAGAAGGGCCCTTACCATGTGGTTCAACAAAGGCCTTAAGGTCACCTGGCCTTTCATGGTTCTTGGGGGACCCTGTCCCTTCCTCTGAAGAAGTTGTGAGGACTTCATCTTTGTTCTTGCCAGGAACTGCTGCAGAGTCCAGCTGTTCTGAGGAATTCACCACAGAGCTCCCTGGGAGTTCCTCCAAGAGCTCCAGCCTGGTCTCATCTCCAGGAGGGACATCCACATGCTCTTCTCTCTCCTCCAGGAGGGGTCTTTCAAAGTCTTTCTCTCCATAGTTTAAATAGAAGCTCCTTTCTGCAAAGGAGGTATCAGTTTCATCACTCGAGTCAGCTCTGGTTTCTTCATGGGCTGGGTCCAGCAGAAATGATTGGAGTCCTCCCTTGTCAGAGACTGGGGACAAGAGGTCCATCTCTGCTGGCCTGCTCCCTGGGGAAGTGGGTCTTCCACAAGTCTGGAACTCCTCCAGCTCATTCCTCAGCTCCCCCTTACTTTCCCACTGACCAGCTGTGACACAATGGTTCCTGCTGGTTGCCACCCCAGTGCCCCCCCTGGGCTGTGAGTCCTCCTGGTGTTTTTCTACCAGTGCACAGCTTGCTGCCTGGGAAGATCCTCCCGAGCCTTTCCTGACCCAGAGGCTTTCCTCCCACACGGATTCAAAATCTTCAGGGCTTGCAATCATCCTCCCTCGTTGCTGGGTATGTTTTCGTCTGGTTTCCACCATTTCTTCTGTGGCCACTTCAACTTTAAACTTGTCCACTAGAATGTCTACCTTGGAGAGTCTGCCATCAGCAAGAATATCTGCAAAGACCGCCCCACTTTCTTCCTGCTGTGTTGTGGCCACTTTTAGGAGATTGAGGTCTTCTGGCCTAGTGTACTTTCTTTCTATAAATACCCAATGCTCTGAACCCTGTATTTCAATTGGAGTAAGAAGAGTTAACATGAAATGATCAGGCACTGGAAGAATGGCTCACATTTTCCCTCTATAAGAAAGGGTAGATCTACAGCTGAAAGGATGGCATATTCCCAGAGGGGAGGGGCGGAAGGCAAAACAACGCCAGTTACTTTCATCAAGTCTACTCTTTCCATCAAGCCACCCAACGAATTATTTAATGACTCTCCTCAACCATCGCCCGCCCCCCAACTTGTTAAAATGGGATGGGGTTAATCATGGGGAAATAAGAGCTCCACAGATGGACTAGGACCAGCCTAACCAACACACATTTCCCTGAAACTAGAGTCCGTCTCCTCTTCTAATAATATCATTGCCACTATCAGAGGGGGAAGTAGTTTATGCTATATGGAATTCTTAAGACATCATTCTGTTCAATTTCATTGTGAAAATGGGGAAAATGAGGTCTAGAAAAGGTCACAGTTAATTGATGGTAGAATCAGAATGTTTGATTTTGATGCCTGAGATCTTTGAGGATTTATTTCACAACTTAAGGAGTATGGGTTTCAATTATGATCTAACATAAGTCGAGGGAAAGCACTGAGCTAAGTTCCATAGGTGATAGCCTGAAATCTGACCTGTCTACATGAGCTTAGATGTTTCCAGTTCTAGAGGTTAGTGTCAGTTACCTCAATGGCTTAGACAGCTTAAACACTGTCGTGCTTAGTCCAAATTAAACACCACCAAGGCCCATCAGTGAGGACTTCTCATAAAACAGAAACGGACTGACCAGAACCCATCATGGAAGAAGATCTAAAGATCCAAGCAGTAAGACAAAGGTACCAAACAGAGTCACATCATCTACAAAACCCCTGGTGTGGCACTGTGGGAAAATGCACTGGACTGCAAGGTCGGCAGTTCAGATTCACCAGCCACTCCTTGGTAACCTTATACAGGGTTGCTATGAGTCGGAACCGACTTGAAAGCACTTAATAATAACAACAACCACCTCCCTGGAGAGTCCTTTGAACAGTGGTTAAGTGGGGGTGAATGGACCTCTTGAGGAAGTCCATTGGGTTTTTATTCTTCTTTTAACCACTGAACACTTTCTTCACACAAATAATTCAAGTCCAATACATAACACAAATGCACAGCTGTGCTGTTGAAGTCAGGGGCGAGGCTATCTCAGGATCTTTCTCCTTTGAAGCCACACCTCTAACTCAAGCCCCTTATAATACAGAAGTGGAAACGGAGGCCTAAAGAATGAATCTGTTGTCCAAGGCAACAGAGTGAGCTAGAGACAAATCAGATCTAGGTCTCTGACTCCTGGTTCTGGGAATTATGCTTTTCACACCCTACAATGACCACCTCCTCCAGGGTA